AGTGTAAGTTTGTAAATATTCACACAAACGGATAGGATTCCCGCCCGACCGATATTCGTTTGCTTTACATATCATACGAATGAGACGGGACAGGCACATGTAACAATACAGTACAACAGCCGAAATACCACATCAAAAACGATAACGAATAAAGAAGGAGAAAGAGCGAGTGAGAAAGAGAGAGCACATACACGACCGAGACGAGCACACACACAGTCCGTCCGTCGGTCGGTCGGTCGATACATACACAGAAATGAAGAATATCGCACATTGACGATTGAAAAACAGCTGGCAAGTACAGTTCGATTCGTACATTCAAACACAATTGACGCATGCTTTGGCCAGCACACAGGCATAGTGTAAATAATTTAAATCGGTGCGTATTTTTCACTTTGCACACACTTTTGAATCGAAAGGAAAATCATTTCAGCAGAACGTGAAAACAACAGTTTTTCAACCAAAAACCGTTGATTTTAACGTCTCACCTTTCGTAATCGATTCTATTTACAAAGCAAAAGAAAAACGTTATAACTTTCGGTGCGTGTTATTATTTGTTTACGGTGTGTGACCCTATGTGTTACAAATGAATATTTAATTCGTTTCTTTTCTATTATTTTTGTTTTTAAATATTGTTCAAACGTTTTGTTGTGTGCCGGTAACTTACGTACAAAGAAAACTTACTTATTAGTTTTAAAGTGACAGCAGTGCAACAAAGAGAGCCAGATAAAAGAAAACATCATTGAAGTTACACTGCAAAAATAGAATACAACGACATTTTATTCAATCACTTTACGATCATTTCGTTATCGGGTGGGTATTTATTTGATTTTGTTTGGACATAATTTGTTTTTTCGCTGATTCACGCAACACGACCGTTGGGTATGTGACTTAAATACATGTTAAATGACATCCCGTGCCCGTTGTTCATTCTTGTATCGATTGATTTTCGTTTTGTAAACAAATTTCCAATGACAGAAGTAGTTCGCGCGCATATTTAACTGAAAACAAAATATACAGTCCCGGAAAATGGACGATCACGAATCGCCTGAATGAAATCGATTGGGTAATTTGTGCGTGTGCAAATTTAAAGCGTAATTTTAAGCCTGGCAATTCCAAATTTGTTGATTTCGTTATTTTCATTTTAATTTGAATTCACTTTCATGCATAAATAATTTTTCGAAAAACAAATTCATTTTATACGAAAAAAAAATGGTGACAAAAGCACACATAAATTTAGATAAAACAAAAAAACGGCCTGCTAAACATATGAGAGGTATGCTCTTCTCTATTTTTTATGCTCGCAATGAATATCAATTATACACAACGACGATGTTCAAGCGTGCACCTGATAAAATTGCAAAGCAAATATAAAAAAAAAACAATAACATAGCATGTAAGAAGTAAAAACAACAACGGCAAATTAAATTACAGCAATATTCAAGCCAAGCAAAAGGCATTTTGTCATTTTGAAAATGTTTCCAACAAACTTTCCGTGTGAGAGAGAGAGAAGACATCAATAATATGTATATCAACAATGTGTAAACAAACAAGCAAAACTCAGCAAGAGCGCGTGAGGGAGACAGACAGCGAGGTGAAAAAAGTTGATCGCGCATCAAATTAGAACAACCATGTTGTTTGTTTAATCAAATTAATTTGCGTGAAAAAAAAAAAAAACTAAATTTTAGCGCATTTCGTTATCACATACAAAATGGTGTAAAAGTGAGAAAAAAAGAAATAAATTGAAAACAAATTGCGTTAAAATGTAACAATAATCGAACAAAGAAACTGAAAATGTACTTTAAAGGCAAAACAACCGTTTCATAATGATTTTGTTGCGGTAATAATGAATTAAGCTATACAAATTTGATGTGTTTTTAGCTTTGTATGTGTGTGCTTACAATGAAGCATTTCAAGCTACCTTTAAATCAAATCAAGTAGAAATCGACGAATTTTTGCCAATTAAAATTGCCGGGAAAAATGTGAACGCAGCGAGCGTGAAAGAGGAGGCGAAGTATTAGAAAGAGTTCAAGCGACCGAAACAAAACAATGCACTTTTTTCTCGTTTTAAAATGACCTTCGTTACTTTTCTTATTATTTGAACTCTCATATAGAGTTTGAACCTTCGGCAATGTGCATGAACAGCATGTGAAATCAACAAATATTGTACAATTGATGGTCTTATCCAGGTATTACCGAAAATGGTCTTTGTGTATGTGTGTGTGTATGCTGACTTTGACCGGACCCATAAAGTTTGAATATATCACAAAGACAGTGTCTGTCATTGCTGTGTGCATTGAAATTGACAATTCTCACAGATAAGATACGAATCAGAATTGTGTCGATAAGTTATCTTTGAGACTTGTGCGATAGTTGGACTTGGTGACAACATATTATTCATATTATTCATATCAGTTGGCAACTGAACAAAATCCAGAAACCTTCTGTGTGTATTAGCCGATGCGGTGTCCATGAACACTGTGAGCCGCGAAGTCATGCTTGCTCTCTGGCTCTCTCGATCATTTTATGCTTCACGTATTATGTGCTAATATTCAATTGTGATAGTTGGTGCTACACATTGTACTGCCACTGACAACGTGCATACTATAACCATATCAATGAAAGCCGCCAACAACGTTTATAATTTCGGAGGCAATAAAATGCTCATTCAAAACATTTTAATGTTCAAGAGATAAGCGTTGTAATGCCAACGTGTGCTGAAAGGAGTGCGACGGAATCTATGCCGAAAAATTAAATCAAATCGATTCGATTGAAAAAAAAAAATGTTGGGAAAAAAACTGTACACGTTTATACGGCCCGGTATTTGGGAAGTGGCCAAGTACAATTTATCTATTTCAAATGATTGTGTGCACAATTTAACGAAATCATGATTAACATGCATACAGCGCATAGTTTCACACATTTTTCTCCGTTCCTTCTTTAAATTCATGATCTTTTTTTTTGTTTCAAATTTAAAAGTCTATCTATCACGTATAATGTTGCGACGAGGAAAATGTAAAATAATGCTCAATGGAAGAGAGAGAGAGAGAGAGAGAGAGAGAGAGAGAGAGAGGGAGAGAGGAGGGAGATAGAGAATACACAAAATAATTGTGATAAGCAATGGGCGTGCGTGTGCACAATTCACCATCATATGCAATGAAAATGAAACGAATAAAAAAAATCGCGTTATTATTCAAGCGATCAATGTTTTTTTTATTTAATTCTATTTCATGAAGGTTGATCGTGTGATGCGCGCACAAAATCGTACATGCATTTTTTTTCATTGCTCCATAGTTGGGTTGGCAAACAATTTATTTATTTTTTGTGTTTCGCTTTTTAATAACTAATTGGGGGTTCTCAATTCATTGAGATTATCACGATATCGTTCACCGTTCGTAGGCATAGTGCCGTTTAGGTGTTTATTCGGCGCACTTGAACTTCAAAACTGTATTCATGCACGAATTCGTGAAATTGAAATCAAAGTGAACTGTCGACCGTCTTTGTAATCGACCATTCACCGAACAGTCTTTTTTTCTTCTTCAATTTGGTCGGTCATTTAAATTTATATTCTACACGAACGTTTTCAATCGCATATTGTCGTCTACTTGGGTAATTGGCATAATTTGTCACTTCTTCGCTTATTCAATGCAATTAATTACACAATATTCTTCCGTATGTCGTGTGTGTTATCTATGTCCCGCCCTAGATCGAAAAAAAAAAAACAAACAAAAAACAAACGAAAATGATGAAATTCAAGCGACACAACTTGAAATTGCATAAAAAAGTTATCGTCAGTTGAAGAGATTTTCGTTAGAGAAAATATGACTTTTCAAAGCAATTTTTAAGACTTTCGTTTGGCCAACGCGAGTTCAAAGTCAAGAAGCACATTTTCGTTCTTAAATTTCATTTATGTATAGAATAGTCAAGAAATGTTCCTTTTTTATCAAACGGTGTACATTTTTGATCGCAAAGTAATATGCGTCGAAAGAAAAAAATATCTATTTTTAACGCCACTGAACTGAAAATTTTCTCACCGATTATTTAATTGATTCAAAGAGTATCATCGACGTTTTTCTTTTTGACGCTGAACAAAATTTATCTAAAAATAGTTGAGCACCTCTTTTTTCATGAAAAATTTCCATCACATTGGATTTAGTCAACTTCCAGCCGCTGTCGCAAGGATGAGAATCTTCTTCAATGTCGAACAAATCTCATCATAAATTTGCCGTTAAAGAAGATAGATATACCCGAACACACATACACAATTTGAACAACAATTTTTATCAATTATCATAATCGTTTACGTTGAAGAGCAACAACGGCAATAAAATGGAAGTAAAACAAAATGTGCAAATCAAAAAGATACTTGAACGGATAACCGCACGCTTGCGCTCAAAATCTCTATCGCAGGCTACAATAAGATAAGATGATTTATTTCGATGACAATACAATAAAAAGCCATCACACGGCCGACGACGAAAAAAAAATTCGTACGAAGAAGAACACCGAAGCGAATGAGAACATTGCGGTATTTGACTAACATCAATTTGTGGCAAACTGGAAAAAAACGCACACATTTAAAACCATTGCAAAAATGTGGTTTATTTTTCTGTACTGATTTTGATAAGCTTTATTTTCTTTTTTCCTTGTTGATTTTAATATAGAATACTTTGAAACGATAAAATTGGATTAAAAATAAATGCGTCTGTTAAGATTGTGGCGTCGAGAGATGCCTGAAACTAATATAATTTAAAAGAAATGTAAGTTATTCGATTGCGTTGCAAGAGCGTGCATTGAGCGTTCATTTTCGTGGGTTGCGTGTACAACGGCGAGCGCACTTGAACCTGGTCAAAGTTGTGAAAACAAACAGTGTGCTGGGATTAATAAACTTTAAGCGTGCGTAGTATTTTATTTTTACTCTGCATTCAGTTGCCGGTGGACCGTGATATAAATAAAATTGGCATTGACATTGGATCGAACTAAATCGAATTTACGATGTGATTTTTTTTTTCGTTGTAATTATTATTGTGCATTTAATATTGAACACGCTCGCGCTTCAAATACATTCAATACACAAGTCAATGGCGATCCACGTCGTTTACGTGCCAGAAATTCTAAATCGCATTCCGAATGTATAAACAAATCATAATTTTTTTCGGCATATTATTGAGGCAATTTTGGCAAATTGATTGATATTCGCACACACTATTAGTACATACAGCATACACACTATTTATACACGCGCACCACATACGAATTAAACAGTCGTCATTGTCTCATTTGATTTCACAGTTGAATTCTTGGCACACATTTTTAATTCATCCGCGTATGAATGAAGTGTTCGGTGTGTGCGACGCCACTATATATTTTTTAAATTCCTCTATCACGTTCGAATTTTTCGATCGATCCAAATTTTAAATTCATTTTAAATCGATTTATCGAATGTATGGCTGCTTTTTCAACGAATCGCGATAGCTTGAAACAAATTGTGCAAATTAAAAATTAGTGTGAAAACCAAGTGGTCAGTGATTTAATGATTTAAAAATAAAAGCATAAACAAATATAAATTGCAGGGATGGTGCACCTCATGTGGAAGATTTTTCCTGAATAATAAGCCAGTCGTGCTAATGATTTATTTGTCAGCTTTATTCACAGCTAGATTTTGATTAAATTCTACTGAAAGTCAATCTGATACCCTATATCTGATAAATGGTGATTGAGTGACTTTTGGATGATAAACTGACTATTTTGAGAGAAAATCACAACGACTGTACGAACTATATTTACTCATATTTTTTCTACATAGTCGAATTTATTATCGGTCAATCGAGTGCAATCGGTAAACTTGATGATCTTGCTTTGATTTTGATCTAAAAATTTCATCACAACTTACAATTTATCCATTTCTGGAAGTTTCAAACATTCTTTTTGTTTTCCTTCTAAATAATTAATAAATTTTTCAACCTCGTCGAACCAATGCTTCGATTCGGGATATTGAATGGCCAGCTTCTTAAGTTCATCACCGATGCATTTTCTTTACGCCGGTGTCATGATCTTGAATCTTGATCATTTTCTCCAAATAAACCAAAAATACTGCGATCGGATTCGAGGCGACTGATACACAGAGAAAAATATGCAATGAAAACTAGATGACATGCCATCTAATATTTGGAACTATTGGAACTAATTTTAGACGGATTGTCAACTAGGTCCGAATTTTAGATGGCATGTCATCTAGTTTTCACTCTATATTTTTTTTTGTGTACCAGCATTCACCAGCTAAATAAATGTTCCGGTCAATCAGTGTGCAGAGAATATATATACATTGAAACACGGGCTGCACCAAAATAACTTAATGCTGAAACTATTTCTAAGTCCTGAAAAGCAAAGCCTCCCCAGTGAGGGGTAAAATATACCTCCGACTCCTCGGATTGATTTAGAACATCAGCAAATTTGATATAAATAACCAAATCGAAGTAACACAAATATGAATTCGAGCTTCTGAAATTCTAGGTCATCAGACATATGATAGCAATCAATATTGCAACGCGTGCACCAATCTCAAGTAGCAAAATATATAAAACCAATTCAAACAAACTAAGAGTCAATCATACTTAAGCGCTTAAATTTGTTTATTATTTTCTTGTGTTTGGATCGAGGTAAATAAAACAAATCAGTGTTTGTAATTTTGTACGATGCAGCAATTCACACTATCAAACCAAATGCACACACGCCAATAAAGCAAGAATGCTATTTGTTGGATATTTGTTATTGATTTCAGTGAGAAATCGTAATTTATAATCATTTTTATATGTGTCTGGGTAATAATATATTTCTTGAATTTGTTTTTTTTTGTTGCATATTTATCGATTCAATTTCGACATGAAGAATAAACAGATAATTGAGGATACGAATGTTATGAACAAATACGATTTATATATTTCCAATTACAAAATTCATTTGATAAATTGAATAAACGATACAATTAGAGGTGATCGATTTCTATCACTCTCTTTCTCTCCTTCATTATTTCTCAAGCATTTCCAAACATCAACATATATACGACGGAGAGAAAGACAGAGAGAGGGAGAGAGGAAAATGATTTGGTGACAAAGTGATTAAAATAAAATGTTCACCGCTGTCATAACAGTTTTGGATATGCACGCAGTGTGACTACAAAACCGTAACCATTTTTTTAGTTTTCTTCTATCAAAACCGCCACAATTTTTTTCGGTCGATAAAAAGACACGTTTCTATTCAATATATACGGCCATAACAATGAGATTAAAAAAACAAATAACATATTTTTTCATCTATATTAAAATAGAAATCGATTAACAAATATTACTCGATAAAAAAAGTTTTCGTGCACCATGCATGGAAGGGAATAGTTCCCGCAATAAAATTACACGAAAAACACTACGAATAAATCAAATCAAAATATGTGGCCTGCCATATAATGCAACGATAAGTGCAAAGATAAACGAAACGATAAGATGTGTGTTTATAAAACACAAAAACGATGCTAGAAAAAATTGATTATTTGCATGCAAATCACACATCTCTGGTCGTCCAGTTGTTGCAAATGAACGAGCAAAAGAGATGCGTTTCTTTTCATAAATTGTTTGATTTTGATATCCGATGTTATCGGACTGCTTTAATTGCAATAGCAAACGAAACGAGAATTTCAAATGTGGTCGCGCACATCAATTGATTTTATCAAAATTACAATCAATTTTTTTTTCGAGCTTGATTTGATTCAATCACGGCAATTCATTAATTTATACATTCTTTTTATTTTCGTTTTTCGAAGCTTATAAGCTTGCACCAAATATTTGTTGTTGATTTTGGCGTGAGTGATTATTTAAATAGATAAGCATTTTGCATTTTTTTAAATCTACATAAGAATTACTCTTTTCGTGATAAAACAAGATGATAAACGATTCTATAAGTGATGAAATATTCAATGGCGTTGAAGAAATCAAATGGAAAAGAGTTCTGAAATGAAAATGGAATCTCATTTTGAAGTAAAACAGAAAACAACAATTAATTGCTTTCGACGGAAAATCTAAATTATTCAATTCAACGCAGTTTTAATGAAGTTTTTTTTTTTTTTTGAAAATGTAATGTTCTATAGAATGGATAAAATTGAGGAAAGCCAAATTCTGTTTAATTGACATTATGAGAGCACAGTAAATAACTTTATTTTCGAGGAAAATAATTTTCTTCTGAAATTAAAGCCTAAGTCTCTTGTAGACATTATGAGAAAAAAACCAAATTCGCAAAATACGAAAGAAAAGCCGTTCACATTTGGAAAAAAGGTGTTTCTCAGTTCAATGGAACCATACTGTCTTACGGAGGGCTTAGAATTTAGAATTTTTTTCAATGAACGACGTATTTACCATAAGAACTGCAATGCATATTATCCAGTTACCTTTGAATATTCAAAGCTCTGTGAAAATAATAAATAAAAACTATACTGGCATTTTTGCGTCTTTTAATTGACTAAAACTATGAAAAAGTCAGTAAAATGAGATCAAAATGATCATTAATTGATTTTCCTCATTTTCTGATAATTTCTGCTAAAATTGGATAATCTCGAAAATATTAGAAGTAATCTTTGGAATGAATTTTACAGCAACTGAAAATGTCAAAAGCAAGTCCTCGTGCATAGATTGTCGGTGCCTGAGTTCTAAATTAAGAAAATTTTTTTTGATTAGAATAATAGATAATTGAAAACATATCACAATCAATAATTATTTAAAATAATGTAATTCATAATTTTCCTAATTTTCAGAATCTTTTGAAAGTGTCAGCGAACATCAAGCGAGGAGAACACTAAACAAACCTTAATTCCACGTAATAAGTGGAATAATAACGAAGAAAAATTACCTCTCGGCCTGTGTGTGCTCAATAGAAGCTGTGTTTGAGTTACAGAATTGAATCGAAGAAAGAGAAAAAAGTAAAAACTATCGAATACACAATGGCAATGAAAGAATTACTGTATCGATTGCGACCGATGCAAATTTATATAGTGCTTGCGTTGTCAATTGCCTATTTCATTATGCAATTGTTTCTGAGTCACATAACTCATGCGCTCACACTGTTGGTCGATTCGTATCACATGTTATGCAACATAGTCGCACTCAGCGGATGTATAATAACAATTAAGGTGAGTTTTTGCAACGTTTTTCTTTCTTCTTCTTCTTCTTCTTCGTCTACATTGGTTAATAAATGGTCAATAAATATCATAGACATTGTGCTTAAAATCACAAGACATGCATCGGCTAATCCACTTTCTTGTTTCTCTTTCTAATTTGTTCGTTTGTCGTCGGATGCAATGTAGCATTGTAACGATCACAGCAATAGTAAAAATAGTATTAGCAAAAGCAGCAGCGACGATGGTGGCAATAATAAAGGCAATTTTCCGTCGATATTTACAAAATCAACAACAACAGCGACCAATAAACAATTTATTGAAGTGAATGAGGCGGAAGCGCATCGACGATCGTTGCGTAATACATTCGGTTGGATGCGCATTGAAATCTTAACAATGCTTGCTGCTGGCATTTTTTTGGGCTCATTTTGTTTTTCATTGGTTGTCGAAGCGATACAAACGCTCATTCACATTGATCACCAGGACACAATGCATTATCCAGTGTTCGTTTTTCTACTGAGTATTGGCGGCTTAATTTTAAATATATTTTGCTACATCATGATTGGCGGTTATACGTATCATCAGGGTAGTTTTTTGCATATAACTTCCGATGGTGATGTAGTGCTTGATGAAATGGCCCACGAAGAGGGAAGACTGTGCCGCAGTAGTGGTCGTTTATCGAAAACAAAACGCACCGAAAATACACAGAGCAATGCAGCTATTCAAAGTACCGCTTCATCCATACAAATTGATGTAACAGCATCGACCCCAGTCAAAAATGTACCAACTAATCAAATCACATTACGGACACACGGCTATGCACTGATGCGTGATATCAGCAGTGAGTTTATGATATTTTACATATAGCATCCGATCGAAATTTATCAAAAAAAAAAATCAGCCAAATACGGATTCGACACATTATTCAGTTAATTTTCATAACATTTTAGACAATTTATATAATTACAATGTTTGAAACTAATTTTTAGATTCCGTTTGCACTTGATTTATATGGTTTTTTTTTGGTTTTCTACTTCATAATAGGTACGCTGTTTGTGATGATTTGTTCAATCATCGTTTATTTTGCGGACAATGAAAACATTACAAAGTATGTTGATCCAATTATATCAATTGTTTCGGGCATCACTTTGCTTGTGTTGAGCTATCCATACAGTAAGTATTGTTAATGTTTTAGACGATTTGTACGCGGTTGATTGTTATCATTGCGTCGATTTATTGATGTTATTTGCTTTTTTCTCTCTATCCTTCTCGCTTTATCTTTCTTTCTTTCGTGGAATCGTGTCTGTCCCAGAGATGTGTCATTTAATGTGTTGAACGCTATTATGTGGTTCACATGGTTGCCCTCTTCAATTCGAATCAATGATAACACAATAAAGAAAAAAAAGCTTTCAATTGAATCATCGGTCACTATTAATTCAGCTCTGTCCATAAAAATCCAAATTGATCGATGTAAGCCCACTGATCAGTAGAACATAACGAGAATTACTAATCAGGCCAAAACATTGTTCATTTTTTTTTTCAATTTTCAAAGTCATCATCACATTTACATTCAATTTGTACGTTTATTGTCGCGTATACAACACAGTTTTGCACTGACCTTAAGCAAAATGATCGGCGCCGACAATCAAAATCGATTCCCAAAATGGACTAACAGAACAATCAATCATCGCTCGATGTAGACGATTTTATTTCGTTTTTTTTTCACCTTTTTCGATTTTTTTTTATTGCATTTACAGTGAAAGAATCATGCTTGATATTGCTGCAAACCATTCCGGCATCCATTGATATTGAGGTCTTTAAATCGGATTTATTACGAAAATTCGATGATATTGTCAGTGTTCACGATTTACATATTTGGCAAATGACATCCAGTAAATTCGTATCAACAGTACACATCTTATTCCATAGTCCAATGGTGAGTTATCCTGGTAAAAATACAGAGTGAATAAATAAACTCTATATACAGGTTATAGCAAATCAAAAGAATTTCTTCACTTAGGAATTTCTTAGATTCTTTAGATTTCTTAGATACTGGTTTAGCACCAATATATCTGAATGTGTCAGAGTATCTAACGTATCCTAGTTTTGGAACGAACATTGTCAATTCTGAATACCTCTTGCCTGATTTATTTCTCGGGCATTTTCAAAATCAACCTTTTTCAATAGTTACGTAATAAATACGGATAATGCTTTGGGAACTTAAAAGATAAGATTACCGAATAGATTTAAAAGTATAAACGTGTAATTTATTTTGTAAAAAATTTGATGAAAAATATGCCAAATTCCCAAACTCTAAATAATTTTTTGTAAATTCATTTCATTTATTTTTCACATCAGGTCTACGTAAAAATAAAGGATGATGTTGTGAACTTTTTCCATGCTCAGGGAATAACAATCGTAACAATCCAGCCGGAATTCAAAACAAAAACGCCAAACGATCCAAATTCAAATAAATGTGGTAAATTATTATTGCAAGAATGTTTGATTGGATGTCAAAGTATTGAATGTGCGCCAAAAACATGCTGTTCAAAAAGCGATCTCGATGCAATCCTAATCGGTGACGCTGATAAAAAATCGAAAAAGTCAAGAAAATCGAAAACCGATCGAAAATCGAATTCAATGCTAAGTTTGAATGTAACATCATTGGAAAAATTACGTAAATTTGCCAGCTCAACGGATGTAATGAAGAAAAGTGTGAGTGAATCGCATGTAACGCAAATGGGATGTGATGATAGCATTGATTCACAAAATACATCGGTAAATGTATCGAAAACACCATCAATGGCAAATAATTTATATTCGATACACGATTCAATTGATGAGCTCGCCGAAAAGGAATTCCATGAACAATGTGATGCACGTAACCAACTACAACTACCCAATGATCAACAAACACAACCAAAACAATGTGAATCGAATGCCGAACATGAAGAAGATTCTACTTTGTTGGATAAGGATAGCCGATTGACGGTAACAAATACATCATCCGGCACCAGTGCAGATGAATCATCAGCCAAACAAAATGAACATCGAAAATAAATACATCGCATTCACATTCGTCCAGACTTTCCCCTTCCCCTTGCACACACACAAACACTTCAAGTGCCAATACCAATTTCGAATTACTTTTACGAATCGATCTTTTCGCTTTTTTTAAGAACACATATTTGAAATGATGATATATAAAGTAGTTTTTTTTATTAGAATAAGACAAAACCACATATTTAAGACTGATTGATGATGATTTTCGATGATTACATAAAGAGATCCACACAGAGATGCAGTTTATTTTGAATGAAAATAATTACACACAATTGATATTCCATTTTATTACGAATTTATCACAAATGAAAGAGAGATAGATAGAGAGAGAGAAAGTGAAAGCAGAAAATGAAATAATTTACATCGTAAGTAAAAACAAAAAGTGGTTGTGTTAAGAGCTGTGCAATATTGCACAATGGAAAATAATGCACAAATCGATATAGCAAAAATGTAAATGTAGTCCTTTGCATTATGTTGGAAAGGTTGAAAGCCATATCACATGCCAAAACTGTATTATTTTTAAGTGACGAATTGAAGAATTATGATGATATATTTTAGTTTTTTGTAATTCAATTTCGAAAAAAAAACGCCCAAAAAATTATGAAATAAATACAATAACGAAAATTTTGTTCAAACATATGTCGTTCAATCTATTTTAAACATTTAGCATTCGAATTGATTGGAAAAAGTAATATGGAATGTGAGTATTTGAATTGAGCGCCATCGTTCAACAGATAGATTCATTCAACACAAATTGACAGATGACGCCATTTTTTCTCTCCCTCTCATTCTCTTCATGTGAAAATGTTATTCACTTGTCTGCGGTGTATCGCATACAGCACATAAAACCAATGAAATGGGTGCGAGTGAGACAAACAGCGTCCACAACGCAGCGTTACCGTCTGTGCTGTATTGTTTTCCATTCTGACATCGACAGATTGCGCCGCATAAGCAGTGCGAAAGAAGACATACAAGCAGTAAGACGACGACAAAATCGATTTCGTGTTTGGACGTGACAAATCTAAGAGGAAAAAAGTTCTGTATCCAACAAAAAAAGTTTTTTTATATCAAATTCTCTGCAAAACAAAAAACAAGTAAGTGATTAAAGTTCGAACGATTTTGGGTTTTTTTCTCTTGAAAAATGCATAAAATTGTTTGAATTGAGTGTTTATTATGCCACACCCAGGCAATTTCTTTGCATATTCACTGAAAATCGAGTGAGAGAAATTTCGTTGTAATTTCACTTTGTGTGTTGCGGTTCTATTTCGAAGTTCGTGGCAATTGAATGTCGTTTAAAATTGGAAATAAAATGAAACATTTTTGTTTTTGGAATGAGAAACAAAAGTAAAAAATGATCAAAATTCAAGTGTTAAATTGTGGCGTTCTAATTAGAACTTCCAGGTTTTATTGAACGAATTTCTATTTTTTTTTCATGGAATCATTGAATGTTTGAAGCGATGAATAGAAGAGAAGAGAGCACAAAAAAACATGATGGCTACCCGCTATATGCAGAAGTACAAACACATACCATTTTTCGTTCTATTTTCGATGTGATGACGTAAGACTATGATTGTATGCGCTCTCGGTTTGCTTGGTTTGCATGCCTATGACAAGGCCTTAGCACTGTTCTTTGAGTGCTTGTGTGACTGTGTGCGTGAGTGTGTTTGCATGTGTGGATGCGTACGTGTTTTGTCGTATCGACGAGAAATGAATATGAAACGAGAAACGAAAACAAATGAATAACTGAATTTGAAGCATTCCAGTGCGGCATTTCAACTACATAAATAGGCAACAACATAACATATATTGCGAGAGAGAGAGAGAGAGAGAGAGAGAGAGAGAGGAAAAGAAGTGGCAAAAGCGAAAAGGAGAGAAAATACGTATGAACTCATCCGATTGAATTACGTGCTTAGAACGAGCGTTTGATTTGAACAAAATGTACTAAGCTAAGCATAGAAATAGTTGAATATATCCGTTTGAACGAATTGTAATCGAAGTAATCGTTGTTCCTCTTGTATGTACATTGAGGTTTACGCCAAATGATTCTATTGAAAAAAAATGTTTTGTGTTTTTTTTTTGTACCTCGCACAGTGAATCGGAATGATATAATAATTGGTTCCTCATTTTTCAAGTGGATTTTGATTCTCATTTAATTTTATGTGTTTTTTTTTCACTTCTTCAATTGACTCACGCATTCCAGTCGGAATTACGGTCGACCTTTACTGCATACACGCAAATTAAAATTGAGATCATTGTTTTTATATTTTGGTGTTTGTGTGTGTGTGTGGAGCGCGCAATGTGTTACAAAACGATTATGTCAGAAATGATGATTTGAAGGCGTCAACCATTCGCCATACCACATCACACTTTTTTTATTTGTTTCTATAGCAAAATTCCATTTTGTTAGCCATTTCGATAAGATTTTAACAAAATAAAATAACCAAAAAACAACAAGCACGACCGTGCGCAAATTATTATCATTAGCTCAAGTTTATTTTAATCGGAGATAACTAATTTTCATTCCATTTGTGTTGCTCATCCGATAGATAACATGTTTTTTCTGTTTGTTTTATCGTTCCGTACTTTTTCTTTTTAGTTGAACGTCTACCAGAAAATCTACAAAGATAAACGAATTTTCCACGAATCGAAACGAAATTCCAGAGAAACAGAAGAATTTAACAGTATTTTCACCGATCTATATAGCCGATATATTTAACGATTAAGGTAAACACCTTCATGATATCAATTGTAATTTCTGTCTGCTCTTCGTTTCGACACTTCTGTTCCTAAATCACTTTTTGCTTTGTTCCCATTTCCACCGACAGATAGAAAAATAATTTTAAAAAAACAACAGACTCTAACAAAATGGACCAATTTACGCCGAAAGAGGTGCGTATTCTCGAAACGGTCGAAGACATTCAGGAGCGTCGTGAACAAGTGTTGAATCGTTACAATGAATTCAAAGTAGAAACGCGTCAGAAGCGTGAAAAATTGGAAGATTCACGTCGTTTTCAATATTTCAAACGTGATGCCGACGAATTGGAGAGTTGGATTCAAGAAAAATTACAAGCGGCCAGCGAAGAAAGCTATCGCGATCCAACAAATTTACAAGCAAAAATTCAAAAGCATCAAGCATTCGAAGCTGAAGTATCGGCCCACAGCAATGCCATTGTTAGCCTTGACAATACCGGACAAGAGATGATAAGCCAACAACATTTTGCATCCGAAACAATTCAACGGCGTTTAGAAGAATTGCATCGTCTATGGGAATTGTTATTGTCACGTTTGGCCGAAAAAGGCTTAAAATTGCAACAGGCATTGGTGTTGGTGCAATTTTTACGCCATTGCGAAGAGGTCATGTTTTGGATCAAAGACAAAGAGGCCTTTGTCACAGCCGATGAATTCGGACAAGATTTGGAACACGTTGAAGTGTTACAACGTAAATTCGATGAATTCCAAAAGGATATGGCATCACAAGAATATCGTGTCACCGAAGTCAATCAATTGGCCGAGAAATTACTACAAGATGGCCATCCTGAACGTGATACCATCAATAAGAAAAAAGATGAACTATTTGAAGCATGGCAACGCCTTAAACAATTGGCCACATTGCGTCAAGAGAAATTATTCGGTGCGCATGAAATTCAACGATTCAATCGTGATGCAGACGAAACAGTTGCATGGATCGCCGAAAAAGATGTCGTCTTATCATCAGATGATTATGGCCGAGATTTGGCTAGCGGTAAGAAAAACGATTTACTTTTCATTTGTTGAGCAAATTTTGTTGTGTAGTTGAAACTAGAGCCAAATCAGTGCCAAAATACTAAAATATTACCGAAAGTACTGAAGAAATACAAGGAAGTACCTAAAGCACAAAAAACACCGAAATACCCAAATTTTTCTACGTTTGTCGGTGGTCATTATGGTACTCACCGTATCTCTTCTGTACTTTCGATAATGTGTTTGCAGTAGTATTTTTGGTATTTTGGTACAAATTCACCCTTTGGCGTGAAAGCAAAAAAAAATTTGGATTTTCTTTAAAATAAATAAATATTTTTTTCCATCCCATAGTTCAAGCATTACAACGCAAACATGAAGGTGTCGAACGTGATTTGGCCGCTTTAGAAGATAAAGTATCAACATTGGGCGCTGAAGCAAAGCGTTTGTGTGACATCCATGCCGATCATAGCGATCAGATTCGTGAAAAGCAATCCGAAATCGCTGCATACTGGCAATCATTGACGGCCAAAGCAAAAGAGCGCAAACAAAAATTGGACGAATCATACTTTTTACATCGTTTCTTGGCCGATTTCCGTGATTTGGTATCATGGATAAATGGCATGAAAGCGGTCATTTCGGCTGATGAATTGGCCAAAGATGTGGCCGGCGCTGAAGCGTTGCTTGAACGTCATCAAGAGCATCGCGGCGAGATTGATGCACGTGAGGATAGTTTTAAAATCACTACCGAAGCCGGACGTCAATTGTTGGAGCGTCAACACTATGCAGCTGCCGAAATTCAAGAGAAATTGGCCGCATTGGAAAATGACAAGAGTTCATTATTATCATTGTGGGAAGATCGTCGCATTTTGTACGAACAATGTTTGGACTTGCAATTATTCTATCGTGACACCGAACAGGCTGACACATGGATGGCCAAACAAGAAGCATTTTTGGCCAACGAAGATCTTGGCGATTCACTTGATTCGGTTGAAGCATTGATTAAAAAGCACGAAGATTTCGAAAAGAGTTTGGCCGCCCAAGAGGAAAAAATCAAAGCGTTGGACATTTTCGCAACGAAATTGATTGATGGCCAGCACTATGCGGCCGATGATGTTGCACAACGTCGTGCCATGCTATTGGCACGTCGTTCAGCGCTATTGGAAAAGTCAGCGGCACGTCGTCAATTGCTCGAAGATTCAAGTCGATTCCAACAATTTGAACGTGATTGCGATGAAACGAAAGGATGGATCAGTGAAAAATTAAAAGTTGCCACCGATGACAGTTACTTGTATCCAACCAATTTGAATGGCAAAGTACAAAAGCATCAAAATTTCGAGCAAGAGATCAATGCAAACAAGAGTCGCATCGAAGATATTACAGCAACTGGCAGCGATTTAATTGAGAAAAAACACTATGCAGCCAATGAAATAAATGCACGCATGCAAGAGATTGTTACGTTGTGGGAGACATTGGTTCAAGCATCCGATAAAAAAGGTTGCAAACTTCAAGAGGCATCACAACAACAACAATTCAATCGCACCATCGAAGACATTGAATTGTGGTTGAGTGAAATTGAAGGTCAATTATTGTCGGAAGACTATGGCAAAGATTTGACCAGCGTACAAAATTTGCAAAAGAAACAAGCATTGCTGGAAGCCGATGTAATGGCCCATCAGGATCGCGTTGAAAGTATCAAAGTAACGGCAACCAAATTCATTGAAAGCGATCACTTTGACGCTGACAATATTCGTAACAAAGAAGAAACGCTAACAAAACGTTATGCAGCACTTGCCGCCCCAATGACCGATCGCAAAAAGCGATTGAATGATTCATTGCAGGTGCAACAATTGTTCCGTGATTTAGAAGATGAAGCCGCATGGATTCGCGAAAAGGAACCTATTGCTGGTTCAACAAATCGTGGCCGTGATTTGATCGGTGTACAGAATTTGATAAAAAAACATCATGCCGTTTTAGCCGAAATCAATAATCATGAAAGTCGTTTGGCAGGCGTTGTTGCATCCGGCGAACAAATGCTCGAAGAGCATCCATACTCATGCGACGAAATTCGTTTGCGTCTCGATTTACTCAAAGAGCAATGGGCATCGTTGAAAGAGAAGGCCAATCAACGTAAACAAGATTTGGAAGATTCATTGCAAGCCCATCAATACTTTGCCGATGCAAATGAGGCCGAATCATGGATGCGCGAAAAAGAGCCAATCGTATCGAGCACCGATTATGGCAAAGACGAAGACTCATCGGAAGCTTTATTGAAAAAACATGAAGCACTTGTGTCCGATTTGGAAGCGTTCGGCAATACAATTCAATCGCTGCAAGAACAAGCGAAGAATTGTCGCCAACAAGAAACACCCGTTGTTGATATCACTGGAAAAGAATGTGTTCAAGCTCTGTACGATTATACAGAGAAATCACCGCGTGAGGTGTCTATCAAGAAAAATGACATTTTAACATTGTTGAATTCAAACAATAAAGATTGGTGGAAAGTCGAAGTGAACGATCGTCAAGGTTTCGTACCAGCCGCTTATATCAAGAAAATTGATGCCGGACTCAGTGCCAGCCAACAAAATTTGGTCGATGGTCATTCAATTGCAAAACGTCAATCGCAAATAAATGCACAATACGATAATCTATTGGCATTGGCACGTGAACGTCAAAATAAATTGAATGAAACAACAAAAGCATACGTTTTGGTGCGTGAAGCAGCCGATTTGGCTGCCTGGATAAAAGACAAAGAGAATCATGCACAAATTGGTGATGTGGGCGATGATTTGGAAGAGGTTGAAGTATTGCAAAAGAAATTCGATGATTTCAATGATGATTTGAAAGCTAATGAGGTACGTTTGGCCAGTATGAATGAAATCGCCATCCAATTGACATCATTGGGACAAACTGAAGCGGCCATGAAAATTCAAACGCAAATGCAAGATTTGAATGAAAAATGGGCATCATTGCAACAAATCACCGTTGAACGGGCCAATCAATTGGGTTCGGCACATGAAGTGCAACGTTTCCATCGTGACATTGATGAAACAAAAGATTGGATCAGCGAAAAAGAAGACGCATTGAATAATGATGATTTGGGCAAAGATTTGCGCAGCGTTCAAACGCTACAACGAAAACATGAAGGTGTTGAACGTGATTTGGCCGCACTACGTGACAAAATTCGTCAACTTGACGAAACAGCCAATCGTTTGATGCAATCGCATCCGGATACAGCTGAACAAACGTACACCAAACAAAAAGAAATCAACGAAATGTGGAATCAGATCATCACAAAGGCAACGTCACGTAAAGAACGTCTACTTGATTCATACGATTTGCAACGCTTCCTAAGCGATTTCCGTGATCTAATGGCATGGATTAGCTCGATGATGGGACTTGTGACATCCGAAGAATTGGCCAACGACGTTACCGGCGCCGAAGCATTGATTGAACGTCATCAGGTAGGTTCATAGACTAAATTCGAGCCCCTCCCTCCCAAAAAAAAAAATCATATAAGTATTCTAGGTGAATGGTTGATGTTTTTGTCATCCTAGGTCTGATATTTTATCGGTAAATCATTGTGTCATTGATCAACCTCTCCTCTATACAATTTTCTTTTCATTCATGTCAATTGTTATTTTATTAAAAAAGAAACCTGTTTTTTCTATTCTTTTTCTGTTTCGATTGTTTTCATCGTGCCTTATTTTGGTCGTTATTTGTCTCGCAAATCATCCCGATTTACGTATACACACAATATCCACACATAAAATGCATTCACATTTTAGAATCATCGTGCTGAAATCGATTACTTTTATGGCATACCTCAGGTGTACTTGGTACATATCAATATTTCTATCTCTCGCATTTGGTTTTCAACGAGTGATTTATCATTTGCTGTGTGTGTGTGTTTGTACAAAACTAAACGATTTTTCATTGAATTAGTTCATCTTTATTTTCAGTTGGTTTTCTTAACATATTTAACATATTCGTTTAAAAATTTACTTTTCATACCTTTTTGTGAGCCGTGTATTTTGTCAGAACATTTTACTCGAATTATTTGTGATTGCAAATTTTTAATTTTTGAATTTTGACACTATTTTAGCATGAAAGATGTAATTTATATAGAAATGTGCTTTAAACGTGTGTTAATTCAATGTTTTTTTATGTTTTTGTTGTCTTTGTTTCGGATTAACACTTGTCTTCCAAGTTGACCCCAAAATAATAATGATAACAAATAATTTGACACCGTTAGATCCCGAAATGAAATCCAGTGATGATTTCACTCCACTCCACCTGTTTTTTTAACCTCCATATTTTTTAGATGTTTGCATTGATCATCAATGGACGTAAGTCCTATGATTTTCAGCCTAATTTCAACTGTCACCTTGTTTTTGTGCTACTGACTTTGGGTCTCACTTTGTGCAAACGATGAAAGTTTTTACTCCAAGTGGGAACTATACTACATACTCCAGTTGCCCAATACAAAAAATCAATTGTTTTTGTCAATGTGTTTGTGTTTTTACCCTTTAGTTTCGCACGTTGCACACTAAATCAATATCTGTACGATAGAATGAAACTAATTATCGTATTTTTCTCTTTCTCTCTCCCTCTCATTTTTTTATCCATACAAAAAAAACCGACCACAGGAACACCGAACTGAGATTGATGCACGTGCTGGTACATTTGCTGCATTCGAGCAATTTGGCACCGAATTGTTGCAAGCAAATCATTATGCTGCGCCCGAAATCCAAGATAAAATCGATGAATTGGCAAAATCACGTGAAGAATTGGAAAATGCATGGACCGAACGTCGTTTACAATTGGATCAAAATCTTGATTTGCAATTGTATTTGCGTGATTGTGAACAAGCCGAAAATTGGATGTCGGCCCGTGAAGCATTTTTAAATGCTGAAGAGGTCGATTCAAAAGGTGACAACGTCGAAGCACTCATTAAAAAGCATGAAGATTTTGACAAAGCTATCAATGGTCATGAAGAGAAAATTGCCGCATTGCAAGTGCTTGCTGATCAATTGATTGCGCAAAATCATTATGCGGCTAATTTAATTGATGACAAACGTAAACAAGTGTTAGAACGTTGGCGTCATTTGAAAGAAGGCTTGATTGAGAAACGATCACGTTTGGGCGATGAACAAACATTGCAACAATTCAGTCGTGATGCGGACGAAATTGAAAATTGGATTGCGGAAAAATTGCAATTGGCCACCGAAGAGAGTTACAAAGATCCGGCCAATATTCAGTCAAAACATCAAAAACATCAAGCATTCGAAGCCGAATTGGCGGCCAATGCTGATCGTATCCAAAGCGTATTGGCAATGGGCGGTAATTTAATCGATAAACGTCAATGCAGTGGCAGCGAAGATGCGGTACAGAAACGTTTATCACAAATCGCCGATCAATGGGAATATTTGACGCATAAAACAACGGAAAAATCGTTGAAATTGAAAGAGGCAAATAAACAACGTACATACATTGCGGCCGTTAAAGATTTAGACTTTTGGTTGGGCGAAGTGGAAAGTTTGTTAACATCAGAAGATGCTGGCAAAGATTTGGCGTCCGTACAAAATTTGATGAAAAAACATCAATTGGTTGAGGCCGATATTCAAGCGCATGCTGATCGCATCAAAGATATGAACAATCAAGCTGATTCATTGGTTGAATCCGGTCAATTTGACAGCGCTGGTATTCAAGAGAAACGCCAATCGATCAATGAACGTTATGAACGTATTTGCAATTTGGCCGCACATCGTCAGGCACGTTTGAATGAAGCACTTACATTGCATCAATTCTTCCGTGATATTGCCGACGAAGAGAGTTGGATCAAAGAGAAGAAATTGTTGGTCGGCAGCGATGATTATGGCCGTGATTTGACCGGTGTACAAAATTTAAAGAAGAAACATAAGCGATTGGAGGCCGAACTTGGTTCACACGAACCAGCCATTCAGGCGGTACAAGAGGCCGGCGAAAAATTAATGGACGTTAGCAATTTGGGTGTACCAGAAATTGAACAACGTTTGAAAGCATTGAATCAAGCATGGGCTGAATTGAAAAATTTGGCCGCAACACGTGGCCAAAAATTAGACGAATCATTGACATACCAACAATTTTTGGCACAAGTTGAAGAGGAAGAAGCATGGATTACAGAAAAACAACAATTGCTTTCCGTTCAAGACTATGGCGATTCAATGGCAGCCGTTCAAGGGCTATTGAAGAAACATGATGCATTCGAAACTGATTTTGCCGCACATCGTGATCGTTGTTCATTGATTTGCGATCAAGGTGCACAATTGGTGGCCAATAAAAATCATCATCAAGACAGTATTTCACAACGATGCAATCAATTGCAAAACAAACTTGATTTGTTGTCATCGTTGGCAGCACGTCGCAAGGGTGCATTACTTGACAATTCTGCCTACTTGCAATTCATGTGGAAGGCCGATGTCGTTGAAAGCTGGATCGCCGACAAAGAAAGCTACGTACGATCCGAAGAATTTGGTCGCGATTTATCCACCGTTCAAACGCTATTGACAAAACAAGAGACATTCGATGCAGGTGAGAATAAAACAGTTTTCTTTTCCTTCGAATTCGGTGTGCCACTGGTATTCAATTTACACGTTTACATTTTGTTTTAGGTCTTAATGCATTTGAACAAGAAGGAATTCACAATATTTCCGCACTAAAAGATCAATTGATCAATGCCAGTCATGCACAATCGCCGGCCATTTTGAAACGTCACGAAGATGTGATTGCACGTTGGCAAAAATTGCGTAACGCATCGACCGAACGTAAAAATCGTTTAATTTCGATGCAAGATCAATTCCGTCAAATTGAAGAATTGTATTTGACTTTCGCAAAGAAAGCATCAGCATTCAATTCATGGTTCGAAAATGCTGAAGAAGATCTCACCGATCCGGTTCGGTAAGTGATGAACACTGTCAAGCCAATTTTCTACAGTCGACAATTAATTTCTGGTCATACTATGTTTCGCCCAATTTTAGGTGTAATTCGATCGAAGAGATTCGTGCATTGCGTGAAGCACATGCTCAATTCCAGGCCTCTTTGTCATCAGCCGAAGCTGATTTCAAAGCATTGGCTGCACTTGATCAAAAAATTAAGAGCTTCAACGTCGGACCAAATCCATACACATGGTTTACAATGGAAGCGCTCGAAGATACATGGCGTAATCTACAAAAGATCATCGAAGAGCGTGACGTTGAATTAAACAAAGAAGCTCATCGTCAAGATGAAAACGATAAACTTCGCAAAGAATTTGCAAAACATGCCAATCTATTCCATCAATGGTTGACCGAAACAAGGTACGTACATTTCATTTACACGAATATACCAACAGAATACCAAATTCAATTTCTACAAACAACAAAAACCAAAAACAAAACAAATCATATACTCAGAACAGACAAAACAAAACAGAACAAAAAAAACTTTCATACATTTTTTATTACAAATTTTTTATTTTCCATTAAAAAAAAAACCAAAAAATTCAAATTCAATGGTCTAAATCATCTAAACAGATTCTACATTCTGGGCTGGAATGTCGATGGGTAAATAGTTGTGGTGACACAGATTTTCAATTCAATATTTGTGCAACATAACAACAAACAAGCATCTAATTTTTGTTTTAAACTTTAAGAGCAAATCACACCATCTCGTTCGCCATTTGCTTCGGTCTTTTGTTTAACAACAGATCGACCACCAGTGTGCGAGAGTTGCTTCAAACCATATATTTTTTTTGCTGATTCAAATAAGAAAAACAAAAACACCGGCACTTGAGCGCGCACCCATTTGTCGTTTGTTTCGCTTTAGCCATTAACAATATAAAACAGCAAACAATGCTAACCCATTAAGCAAAATGCATTGTTGTGACACACTAGGACCGTTCTATTTTTTTGTTACAAGATTTTGTTAGTAATCGCAAATGTTTCCAATTTTTCATGCAGAACATCGATGATGGAAGGATCAGGAGCGTTGGAACAACAATTGGAAGCGCTGCGTTTGAAGGCGGCCGAAGTGCGAGCCCGTCGCGGTGACTTGAAAAAGATCGAAGAACTGGGTGCATTGCTCGAGGAGCATTTAATTCTTGATAATCGTTATACGGAACATTCAACCGTTGGTCTGGCACAACAATGGGATCAATTGGATCAATTGTCAATGCGTATGCAACACAATCTGGAACAACAAATTCAAGCGCGTAACCATTCGGGTGTATCGGAAGATTCGCTCAAAGAATTCTCAATGATGTTCAAACACTTTGACAAAGACAAGAGCGGCAAATTAAATCATCAAGAATTCAAATCATGTTTACGAGCGCTTGGCTATGATTTACCAATGGTCGAAGAGGGACAACCCGATCCAGAATTTGAAGCCATTTTAAGTGTTGTCGATCCAAATCGTGACGGTTATGTATCGCTACAAGAGTATATTGCATTTATGATATCGAAAGAAACCGAAAATGTTCAAAGCTACGAAGAAATCGAAAATGCATTCAGAGCCATCACTGCCTCCGATCGTCCGTACGTTACACGGGATGAATTGTATTGCGTATGTATTGGATTTTCATTGAAAAACTGATTGCCGAAATCAATTTTATGTAATTATATTATTTTCATTGCTTTTCATTTCACAGAACCTCACTCGTGACATGGCGGATTACTGTACCAACCGTATGAAACCATTTATCGATCCGAAGACCAGCCAACCCATCAACGGTGCCCTGGACTATATCGATTTTACACGCACGCTATTTCAAAATTAAGCATTTTTAGATCAAATTATACTTATACACATTAACACATACACACACACACAACTAGAGTTATTATAATAATGGGTTAGATTTCTATATTCTAGTGTTTGTTTGAGCTTTTTTTATCCATATATTTACAGAATTCGTTTGTGTCTTTCAATCATCAAGAAAAAAAAACAAAATTTTTAAGCATGAAAACAGCAAAAAAAAAAAATATTATAAAAAGAATCTACTATTATCATGATTAGAGCACATGCTTAGAGTATACACAAAATTGCAAACAATTTTATTTTAAACGGTTGTTGTTAAAACATCCAAAACGACGTAAAAACATTTTTGACATCATCCGAAACAAAAAGATACGCATTTGAATGGTCCTTGCTTATTATTATAATAAACATATTCAAAATGAATTGGTTATGGAGTTTTTTTTAACTTTCAAAATAAATCACAAAAGAACGAAGAACGACGAGAGAAAAGAAAAGACGAGTAAGTATATTTAACATTTATGAATGTTTTTATTTCTTAATTATTTCTTCCGACCATTGAGTATGTACAATTATATTGACAAATAAAAAAATGATTTGACCTATTGATGGAGGTTAAAGCATCTCTTTCCTAACTTTATTGTTATAATAAGTACATTTCACCTTTCGCTCTCATGATGAAAGTTCCAACACTCCAAATCAAATATGATGTTGATTTCGATGCATGTGTGGGTACCAAATTAGTCTCATATTTGAATTGACTTTCACCTAAAAAAACAGTGTTTGTGTTGTATAATAGGTGCCATTTTTTATTATAATTCTCTGAATTCATTTGTACCGATTTGTACGGTAAACAAAACTTAAAAAATAAACATAACTGAATTGAAATGTGACTTCATGCATAAGTTACTTCCAGCGCCGAAAAAAATACGAGAAAAAACCATCAGAACACTCCTCTCCAGCTGATGAATTAAAATGGGGTCACATGAATCTGTTCTCGTATGACAGTAAGTCGTTTCCATACAATAATTTATTTTCAAATGAATGTAACACTGTTCGCTCACTCATACAAGCACTTGACTAGTATACAGATGCAAACAGTAAACCCAAAATGTTTTAAGTGACATCGCTGTTCTATGACATTTCTATTTAGTTTGCGATCAAATACAGTTTATTGTTTATGTACCGATATTTGGGCTATTGCTAGGTGCAGATAAGATACTGAAGTTATATGAAAAGTCTATTGATATTATATCAATATCAGAGTTTGCAATTTATTATTATTATTATTAACCAAACATATTCGGTTTTTCTGTATTCCAAGCTGATTCAAGCACATAAAACTGTGTGCTGTTCAATTTAATTCGCTGAGCGGTAAAGATTCAAATTGAGCAATAAATGTTTTCATAAAATTGTTTTTATTGAGCATTGAAACCAATTGAATTTCGTCATTTTTTAGTTCATCGGTACATTTAACTTCAGCCAAAAGTGAGTGTTGTGAAATTCTGTGTTTAATTACATTTTGTATGCAATTAAAATAAAAAAGATCTAAACAAGAGAATGTTCGATCTTCTGCAACATGCATCTAAAATAGCCGAGAACGAAGGATTCTGTGATTTTAAAATCGAAACAAAAAATGGTTCCAATCAGGTAATATAACATCATTCGAAAATATTTTCCACAATCGTAATTCACTAAGTAAAACATCACGTTAAATCTATTGAAAATTGCACCAGGGTGATAATTACGTGAGCATTTTGACTGCAATTACAATAACTGGAACAAAAGTACAAAATGACAAGCTATATCAAGATGAATTGCATTTGTTATGTAAAATGCCACCGTTGGATGAGATGAAACGTAAAGATTCTGCAACGAATGCAATGTTTCGCCGTGAAATTTATGTGTACAAGAATGTATTGCCAGCATTTATCGCATTTCAGCGTGAAAAGGGATTGAGCGCAGTGGACTCATTTGTATCATTTCCAAAGGTATTTGAATCCGAAATGAGCGAAGAAAATGAAACTTGTTTTTTAATCATGGAAGATTTGCGACCGAAAAATTTTGAAATGTGGCCCAAGGAACAGACAATCGCCATCGATCATGAGCTACTCGTTATGCGTGAACTGGGCAAATTGCACGCTGTGTCATTTGCGATGAAAGATCAATGTCCCGATAAATTTGATGAATTCAAATGTTTACGCGATCAACACTATGAAAATGCACTTGAAAATGACGTTGGCGAATTTGTGAGAAAAACCATTGGCACAACCACGGAAATATTGGAACAACCCAAACATAAAGAATTTATGCAAAACTTTCGAAATGCCTATTTGGATATGGTCAGAGATTACTTATTAGGCGAATCGAGTGAAGAGTTCGCGGTGATCAATCATCAAGATTGTTGGATAACGAATTTTTTATTCCAAAACACCAATGACAATGTATCTCGATATATAATTTTAAATTTAATTGATAGTTTAATATGAATTTCTATTTGGTCTTTAGAAAACTACACCGAAATCGATGTGCTTATTGGATTGGCAAGCGGCTCGTTACTGTCCCCCGGTGCTTGATATTCTTTATCACGTTTTTTCATCAACGGATCGTGAATTTCGGGATAAACACTATGATACATTGTTGAAAACATACTACAGATCGTTGAGCGAAACAATTGAAAAACTTGGTAGCGCTCCCGAAAAATTATATACTTACGATGATTTTCAACGGCAATTAAGAAAATTTGGCGCATTTACAGTGTTGTGTGCACCGCTATTAATATTATTAAGAGTTACCAAGGCGCATAACGAAACGAGCACAAATGACAACGATCAAGATAAGCGTGATGCAGTTTTTAATAATTTTGATGAAACGCAAAAAACATACGTCAAAATGATTAACGATCTGTTTCACGATCTTGAAAAATATGGTTATATAATGATTAATTAAAACTGAAAATAATTTCATGTTTGAACGACTTAATTCAAATAGAGTGTTTCTCTTTCAAATAAAACCAATTTATTGTTTTGACACTGCATTTTCGATTTTTTAAAATACTAATTAATATGCTATACCGTGCATGATGCTAAATAAAATGGTGTGCATTTTATGGTTGTCTCATTTCTGGAGCTTTATTTCCCTCTCGCTTTATGTTGTCCAATAACAACTTGAATTTCCATATCGCTGCATTGAGAAGTATTATTAGGTTATAAATTATTATGCTTTAATTTGATGACTTTCAGTACGTGGATGACTTTCAGTATTTCATTTTTATATTCAAACTGATTAAGATATCATGGCCATTAAGCCCAACAATGTGAAACGGTTCTACTATGTGAAACCAACTACTGTCTAAAAAGAATAAACAATTTTAAAGGTTGATAAAGATAAAGGTCCCTTAAAGCCGAATTTGCTTTTCCCACAGTGAAACAATACTGTAAATCTAAAAAAGTTTTGATATACAATTTTGGCGACGCGTTTGCTCATTACATGTTAATATTGCATCGCCTCTTTCACTGCCAATTAATATCACATAAAACCAGACAATATATTTGAATTTTGTCATCTGGATATTCCAGCTCATCTG